TTTAATCACTAGTGAGAGTGAGTAGATATGTTCATATAAGAATAAGCAGTAAAAAAAATGTTTATCTCTCAAATGAAGGATTTGCAACACTAAGTAAATGTGTACAACAAGAAATATAAATAGAGGAACACAGGGCATGGGATCCAGAATAAATCATACATATGTTTGTGCATGCCAAGCATGTCTCTGAGACAGTATCAAGAAACATCTGTTGACTCTAAGAATAAGAATGACTAATTCAAGAAAAAGTATGATATATGATCTTTCTTTAATTCTTTGTTCTTTTTCTTTTGTTCTTCTTTCTCTTTCTTTATTCTTTTTCTCGTTCTTTCTCTTCTCTTTTTTCCTTTTTATTTATCTCTTTTTCTTTCTTTCCACTCTTTCATTATTTTTAGAGAGAGATTTTGGCTATAGGGTATGTGAACTTACCAGAGAGACAGAGAGATAAAAATTGAGAAATCACATGCCAGGGGACATGGCCATAATGCAATCCCTTATCCTCTCTTCTCCTGGAATTTTAGGCATGCACACATCTGCACTTGGCAGAATTTGAAGCCACCAGGTTAGGGACTCAAACTGCAATCAGCCATGTGGGAGTCTGGTGCCTCAACCACAATACAACTCACTGATTTCCATTCTTTAATTCTTTGAGAACATTATATTGTTGTACTAATATTAGAACTCACTGAATTCCATTCTTTAATTCTTTGAGAACATTATATTGTTGTACTAATATTAGCTAAAATAAGATAAATTAGAACCTTGAGGAATGAAGAGGTAAACTATCACCTATTTCTGTAAATAAAATTTAATTGAAACATAGATATGTTGATTAATTTTCATATTCCCTATGACTGCTTTCATGCTAACAATAGAGTTGGACAGTCACAACAGAGACCTTATAATGTGCAAAGCTGAAAATATATATTACCTATCACTTACATGAAGGTAAACAAACCATGTTTTCAGGTGTAAATCAATGAAATTTTAAAAATGATACACAATTGTTCAATAATATAATTTAGAAACAAATTTTTAGAAAATGTTTTTAGAGATTTTTTTTCTATAAGGTGCATACACTCCTTGAAGAGACAGAGACAGAAAAAGAGACATACAGCAAAAAATCACCCCTAATTGGGTATGGCCATGACACAATCCCTTCTCCTCCATTCTACACTTGTGATTTTGTGCATATATATGTTTCATGACCATTACACTATGTGCTGGTCCTCAGAAAAACATTATGTTAGAGCAATAAATACCATTAAAACCCGAAGTGTTTAAGTCAGTCAAACTGCTTTTTAACATTTTCATGGAAAAGTTTAGGAGAATAGGTGACAGAAAAATGAAAAAGTACAATGAAAATAGTCTTGTATTAATATGTAACATGTTATTACCAAAAATTAGGGTTGCGATAAAGGTTATAATGATGGAAGGTTTATATTTTTCTGAATATAGACAAGAAAGCTAGTTCGTGGGGAGAAATGGCAGTCACTTGGCAGGTTCATTTCTATTGTTCTTAACAAATAGTATAAATCATTAGAATAAAAGACTTATCAGAGGAAAACCAGGGGAGAGTAGAGAAGTGATCTGGAATGAATCCTCATTCTTGGTAACATCATTGATCCATAAGATAGGCCAACCAATATCTCTCAATGCTGAGATCCAGTTTCAATGTATTTGGTGTTACATGCAGCTGAAAAAATTTCAAGCTTTCTGTCTCTATCTATTGCTCAGGCAAGCACATATTCCCTTAAGCAAAAATCTCTAAAAAAAAAAAAAAAAGAAAGAAAGAAAGATAAAGAACTTGTGAAACAGAAATCATGGGTCTTTCCTTTCCCACCAGATGCAAAGCAGTGTATGCAGTGCTCAGTTCAAGAGTTTCCAAACAATGAGAGAACCCACTGCCTCCTCAAATCTGCGACATTTCTAGCTATTGAGGATTCCTTGGGGTTGGTCATGGCCTGTATAGCTCTGTGCCTGTCTGTGGTCACAGTTGTGGTTTTAGCCACCTTTGTGAAGCACCGAAACACTCCCATAGTCAAGGCCAATAACCAGACTCTGAACTTCATCCTGCTCATCTCTCTCCTCCTGTGTTTCCTTTGCTCTCTGCTCTTCATTGGCCATCCTACCACAGCCACCTGCATACTTCAACAAGTCACATTTGCTCCTGTGTTCGCTATGACAGTTTCCACTGTTTTGGCCAAAACCATTACTGTGATTTTAGCATTCAAGGCCATGAAACCTGGAAGAATAATGAGGTACCTGCTGCTATCAGGGGCTTGTAATTCTGTCATTTCCATTTGTTCCCTAATCCAAGTGGTGATCTGTGGAATCTGGTTGGCAACCTCTCCCCCTTTCATTGACATTGACTCACACTCTGAGCCCAGAAACTTCATCATTGTGTGCAACAAGGGCTCAGTGATTGTCTTCTACTGTGTCCTCGGCTACCTGGGCTTCTTGGCCCTGGGGAGTTTCACCGTGGCTTTTCTGGCCAGGAACCTGCCTGACACATTCAATGAAGCCAAGTTCCTCACGTTCAGCATGCTGGTGTTCTGCAGTGTCTGGATCACATTTGTCCCTGTCTATCACAGCACCAAGGAGAAGTCCATGGTGGCCGTCCTCCAGTGCAGGGGTCCTAGTCTGCATCTTTTTGCCCAAGTGCTACATTATTCTGATAAGGCCTGATGAGAACTCCTGGAAAGCTTTAAAAAATAGAATAAAAAAAAGAAGAGGATCCAGTGAGAACTAGCATTCTGTGCTTTTTATCTTCTAAGTCCGTATGACATTTTTAGGTTTCAAACCATCCAAGTACTTGATTTTATGTTTCACACACTAGGATTACAAGAGACAATTTTCGTGGGATTATTTTGACATTGATACCTCTTAAGTAAACCCTTTTTTGAAATTTTTAATTATATACTTAAGGATGGTAGAAAACAATAGGAATTTTTTATACCTTTAGAGTTTTTAGAACAGAAATATTTTTGATATTTTGGGGGGGTCATCCCTTTCCTCTTGCATAAAGGTCAGATAGCAATTTATTGTGAGGTTTTTCAAATTTAGATTTAACTAATTTTTCAAAATCTATTTTCCA